GTGTAGCACAATATCAGTGAACGATGAACGATAAACGAAGTACTCACCGAATTAACGATGCCGTTGCATAACTCCTCTTTTTGCAGTACACATTTTAAATCGGACGACGAATTCCTCAATTCTATGGCGTCCGGCGGAACCGCGTACTCGGCATCGTCGTCCGTCGACTCGTCGTACGTGTTTGGAGCTATAACTCGTAGTTAAACCATGATGCGTACTCACTGAGGAAAACGGTTCAGTAAGTTTCCCACCGTGCTTACCAAACCTCGAGCTAGCGCTCGAATTCGAGCCGTCCTCCATGACGTATTGAGGATAGAACATGTTGTCCGAATGATGGCCATCTCGACTGGACGAAAGTTGACTACTATCCGACGAACCCGACGCCCTGTGGCAGTACAATCGTTCCTTCTGAAACGTCATCGAGATTTACATAAAAGCTTCAAGGCAGCCATGAATTTTCAGGCATTCATAAAACATTTCAATACCGTGGGTCTCTGAAAGGAATGAATAGTACTTTTGTAGTACTGTTACGGGAGTTAGCTACTCATTTAAGGGTAGGGCAAAGTTTGCAATCATTCGTTGTTAGGAGACGAACAAGCTGAATGGCTAAATCTGACAAACTGACGGCTGACACTTTTAATAAGAGATACAGACAAAAAGAACATTCTATTATGTAGACCTAGGATTCAAAATAATCAATAATTAAAATTTTGTATAATTACTCATTCCGTATTCTCTATCTATTCGCTTCTTCATGAAGATGGGCAACTGCACGAATTAACTTTTCTGCACGAATTACACTTGTTTTGACAGAGAGCTACGTCCGCCTGTGCTTTCCCTCTGCCAGGGAAACGCTGTTATACTGCATGTATGCAGTGTCTTTAACGAACAAACAAAAACGGCGGTTGAACTGCTGATGGGAGTGTTGGCTTCCACGAATAACGATGGCTAAATGGCAGGTGCATGCAAGGAATGACTCTATTGTCTTCCGGTCACAGGTGACCTCAGTGGATTTGCAGATTAGGCAAAAGAGGTTGGCCCTGCTGGACAAACCGTCTGAGCATAAACCACTTTCTT